GGTAGCCCGGGCCTGCTATAGGCAGTTAGGGTAGCTGTAGGAATTCGGTTAGTACCGGGCCTGCATTTTCCCGGATTTGCAGATCTGTCCCTCACAAATTTCCTTACAGGCAGGTCTCTCGGTTAGCCCTCAGCCAAACAAAATTACGAATCTAACCTACCGGTTAGTATACAGCCTTGCAGTTAATCTCGGCAGCCGAAATCAGCAAGTCAGTGCAAGGATGTCAGGACCCAAAAAACAAGAGAAGAAAAAAAAGAAAGACCAGTCTACCTTCTTCAGCCGAATAGAACACTTGGTCATTATCAGCGATTTATCGCTGGATGTAGACTGAAAGTCTCACCAAATATGGCTATAACGACTGGGCATTCTATTCGGGTGAAGATGGTAGGCTCCTTCGTGAAAAGGGGATAACCATCACAGCACTGGTACTCTTAAAATGCTTTGAGCTTCTGGAATCTGGAGTTAAGACTCATTGATCAATACAAAAAGGTGTGTAAAATATGCTCCAACTTCTGTATTTTCCATAATTCACATGTTGTGGATTTGAATCCCAGACTTAAACCATCAGTACTTGGCCCAGGTATCGGCCATGGAAAAAAATAGAGTAGAAACATTTGTAGTCGGATGAATTTGGGCACTCCTGTAGTGGCCCACACATTTCCTAAAATCGTGGCTCATTAACGGGGGCATGACTTTAGGAAGTACGGGTGATTTAAACTTATTGATCAATACGAACAGGTGTGCAAATGCTTGAATTTCTGGACCTATAATGATCATTATGAAAAGGTGTGCCAATGTTAACCACCACAAACAAGAAAGATTCTACTTATTGCTATCATTCCACCTTGTTTCCCAATGAGAGGCTTATTGGGAGGCTTAGAACACGACTTAGGCTTAAGGCTTATTGGGAGGCTTAGAACCATGGTTGCCAACCGGACGTCCGGATCGAAATCCAGACAGTCCGGTGTCTGGTTCGGAGGGTCCGGTTGGACCCCGATTTCAAAAAAATCGATTTTATTTTTTGTGAGGTCCCCAGGCCGTTTTCCTGGGCCTGGGGTACCCCGGAAAAATATTGCTGATGTTTTTTGCGAACCAGTACCCCTACCGGACCAGCCCTGAAAGGGACCTCTGTATAAAAAGTGGAAAACACAGGAGCACAGTAGCAGCCCCGCCGGCGGGAGAACTTCATTTTCGAACATATGGAGGACACGATTTCGAACGTCGAAGAGTGGCAGGCCTGGTCCAAGAGTAGCAGCCCCTGAAGTCGACTCGTCCGCAGAGCTCTCGTCGAAGGTCCCGGCCACTGCAGTGCCATCGCCATATTGGAGGGCAACTTTCAGTCTAGATACAGCAGAGCTGTGTGTGTCTTCAGGGGCAATATGATTAATAATTAATTTATTTGCATGTCCGACCAGTCCCACAGACCTGTGTGTGTGTGTGTACGTGCCCTGTTTTTTATTTTTATTTTTTATTATTATTATTATTATTTATTTTTATTTTTATTTATTTTTTTCCGGATTGTCCGGGTCCGTATGTCCAGATGTCCGCTTAGATGTCCGGTTAACTGGACGTCCGGTTTAATCCAGACACGGGTCCGGTGTCCGGGGGTCCAGGTGTCCGTGTCTGCGGCAACTATTCTTAGAACATATCTTATGCATAGAAGGAGTTTGAATAATGGGATCAGAAATCCATGGAGTGTAGTAATATAGTTTTTTTAACTTGTTTTAAGAGTTGTTTAACCCTCAGACATCCATGGAGTGTAGTAATATAGTTTTTTTAAGAGTTGTTGAACACTCAGACATCCATGGATTGTAGTAATATAGTTTTTTTAAGAGCTGTTGAGGCTTATTGGGAGAGCATATCTTATATACTTACAAGAAGTTCGAAAAGGGAATTTCCGTCCAGCAGACGCCTTTTATTAAACTAAAAGTTAATTGTTTGAGCGGAATCAGACGTCCATGGGGTGTACTAAGGAGTTTTTGAAAAGTTGTTCAACCCTTGCCTATTATAGCTCATAAAAGGGCCTTGAGATGTCATTATCGCACTGACCCACCCCCACCGCCGCTGATTCAGAACGTCTGCCTCAGTGAAGTTCAAACTCAGGTCTGTAACACGAAACATGATGAGAAAGGGTGGGGGAAATGGAGCACAGGAGGACAAAGTGGCCGGTTAGAAAGGGTGTTGTGTGTTGGCACCATCCGGTTTACACAACACGGCCTGTTCCGCATGGGGCCGTCCGCTCCGATCTCCCCGTGTATAGGCAGGATTGGGGACTTGGGGTGCAACGTCACCGCGCCGAGTCGAGTCCACTTGTTTAACTAAAAGTCAATTCTTTTAGTAAGAATCACACATCCATGAGACTCAGTGCAGTAGGAGGTTTTTGAAAGTTGTTGAAACCTTACCTATTAGCTTATTGGGAGGCTTAGAACATATCTTATATACTTAAAACCACCAGTACATGGCCCCAGGCAACTGGAGAACCTGTTTTGAGCCTCTCCGGAAATTTAGGAGGCCAAGCGCCGTAGATAAAATGAATCGGTGGCGGGCGACCTCCCTCCTAAAGGGGCCTGCGGCCAATGGCTGGCATATACTGGTGCTTTAACAAGAAGTTAGAACAGTGGACTCAGAAATCCATGGGGTGTGGTAGGAGTTTGTTAAAAGTTGTTGAACCCTTACCTATTGGCTTATTGGGAGGCTTCGAACATAAATCAAATTGATATTTCTTGTAATTACGAAGTACATACTCGACTTCAGCAGGTTTCAGCCAGCGCTTCTTCGCCTGCTCAATTATCTTCTGAATGTCGATTTCTATTGACACGGCACAGAACATAAGCAAAAAATTAGTCTTCCAGAAAACCACATGTCACAAATGCTCATGCAGAGCATATCTGTAGATCAAGCTTTTTGTAATTCTCAATGCTATCTTTACAGTAAGTTCATATCAACTTCACAACTCTTTCAATTTGCAAGGAATATGTGCGGGAGCGATAGACAGAAATCCAAGTTGCAAAATCGCGAAGTAGCTCAGATAGTCATGAACCAAGCAGAGAGTGCAATGCACCAAGATACCGTCGAAATAAGAGCAATACAATGAACTCAGGTGTCAATGTCGCCACTCTCTGGTCACATCACTGTATCCAATGTCGCAATTACTGTCTGGCGCCCAGCGCCCAGCCTATCCTACTCAGCCTATCTAGCCTATCTACGTTCTCGCAACTGGATCACACCGAAGTCGAAGACCAAAGTACGTGATGTCAACATCAATGCCGATTACCAGCATACACCAGGTACGTTCTCTCTCCTCCCCTCATCACCCCTTGATCACCTCCTCATGCGCCTCCTACCCGGAGACCACCCTCACCATCAACTGCATTGTGCCCCTGCAGCCCGGCTATGGCTGCTGTGCGCCCGCTGCCTCACAGCGCCCCTCTCACCTCAGAGCCCGTGTGCGCGCCCGACCCCCAGCACCCATGCAGACACTAGCGCAGCAATGGAGCAGCGTGTCCGCATTGCCTGCCAAGGCCAGGCTACTTCTCCCAGGGGCTCACACTTTCCTTTATGAAAAGTGTGAGTTTATGGAAAGTGTGTTGCTGCTGCCTGTCCTGGCCAGGCATGTGGGGGCCCCAGTAGCTTCAGTTGGGCCCCAAGCGTCTGCGCCCAGGCCCAGTTTCTGAAACTGGACTGGGCCTCGTGCATTTAGGCACGTCCAGGCAGCTACCCAGCCTCCAAGTGTTTGCAGCATTCACATTGGCTCACAGCACATGTGTGACGACAATGCTGCTTCCTCATTGGCCCGTAACCAGTCAGTGATGTCTCGGCCTCACACAGCGTGTGCCCAGGGCGCAACCTTCTGAGCCCTGGGCTCAGCTGTACAGCACAGCCCTTTGCTTCTGGAAAGAGCCTGGAGGCTCACGCTGTTCTGTAACCAACTGGCGTGCTGCAACTGTCTGAGTACCCACATATGGAAAAATTGTCGAGAACAGGCCTCACGTGGATATTCAGGCCCACCTTCACTTAGGGCAGGCACAAGGCTTGCTGGGGGCCACAGCCCAAAACACTTGTATGTCTGATAAGGGCTCCGCGAGGCTCATTCCTCGCAAATTGCTTTTGCCGACCAGTTTACGACGGTTCCTTCTCATGCCACTCACCACAGAATGTAACAAGATCTTGTTGGAACACTTTCTGTTACTTCTCCTCAACTACCACACAACAGTATTACAACGGCTTGGGAAACTCTCTCTCTCTCTCTCTCTCTCTCTCTCTCTCTCTCTCTCTCTCTCTCTCTCTCTC